ACTCGCGAACTGGATGGTGTCATGCTAGTCTGTGAAAAAGATGTAGAGGACACTGCGCTCTCTGGAGTTGGTGTTATGGTTTTGGAAATAGAAGAAGTTACTGTGCTCTTTGCTGATGCCATAGAAGGAACTGTACTCATTGGAGAGCTGGTTGCTTCTGATGTGATGGATTCAGGTGTGGTGGCCTCTGGAGAAGTAGCCAGGTATTTTGTGGTGATAGAATGTTGAGTACTTGTTTCTGAAGAGCTAGTAGTCTTTATAGCGCTGGAGGTCATTGTGCTCGCTGGGGAAGAAGTGGCTGTTTCTTTTGTTGTTGATTTCAACGAGGTGGTTGGTGGAGAAGTAGTTAAGTATTCCATGGTCGTTGGAAGTTGAGTAGTGGTTTTTGTTGTACTACTACTAATTGTGGAACTCTCAGGGAAAGGGCTGGAAGGCGTTGTGGTCTCAGGGGCAGATGTGGCAGTTTGTGATGTGGTGGATGCAGTCAAGGTGGTTGCTGGGAATGTTACAGAGACTGCTTTGCTCTCTGGAATCGTACTTGTGGTTACCATAGTGGGAGAAGTCACCAAGCTACTCTTTCCTGAAGTTGTAGTGCTCTCTGGAGCAGCCGTAGCTGTTTCTGATGTGATGGATTCAAACATGGTGGTCTCTGGCAAAGGTGTGGAGTATGCTATATTCTGTGGCGTAGAAGCCACTGTTGCTTTTCTTGTGGTTTCTAATTTTGTGGTTTTTGAAGGGCTAATATCCTTCGTAGAGCTGATTATTAAAAAACTGGATGACTGTCTGCTCTCTGTATGAGAGATCGCTGCGGCTGATTTGGTGAATACACCATTTGTTGTTATATTCTCTTTGCTTGTAGTAATGAACACCATTTCTGTTTCAGTTTTTCCCTTTACTGTTCCTGTTGGTGCTGAAAGGATAGAAATAATTGGGATTAAATTAAGGTAGTATGAAGGACAGAACAAAGTTTCTAAACTGCAATTTGCTATAGAACATAAGATATAGTAAAGTTTTCATTCTTTTTGCTGGCATCACTGTTTCTTTACTTTTTTGTCTGTGTACGTCCTTTTCTTATTTTATTTTTATATAAACAATCCATTTTTCATTAACCGGTATGTCATCTGGATACAAATATTTTGTGCCAACATTAAAATATACAATCGTATTCATTATTTCATCTCATCTTGGCTTAATTTCCAATACCTTACTTTAAGTATCTAATATTATAACAATCCCATTGTGATTTATTTAACTCTATTAGTTATATTCACTATTAAGGCATTTTCTGTACTTTAAATTTCTTTTACTATTAATTCGTATGTCTATTCTCTAACCACCTGTAAAAAGATTCCCAAGTGTCTTTATTTTTTGATGCCTTTTATCATGCAGATATTTTGTACAGTAGTTCTATGTATTTCCTTACAATAAGCACCAATGCGATTGCTTCCTTCATCAATTTGATTTAAGTTTATTAATTTTCTCTGTATTTGTTTGGGGCACTTGTCAGTCTTTCCCTGCCTTATTTTTCTTGGCTACTGATTTTCATGAGGTTAGGCAGATATTCAACTATACTTATTATAGTGGAATATATTAATTTGTTGGTTGTATATTTCACCTTTCATTCAAATAGCTCCCCCTTCTTCATATTTTTCACATAAAACTCTTTGTTACATTGGGGTGAGGGAGAAAGTTTGGGCTAAATTCACCAGAAAGCTTCTGTGGCTGCAGAGGGTTAAGCATTGTACTATATTGTCTCTGGATTTCACTAGAGATGTTAGAAGCTGAGAACTTGGTTGCAGTGATCTGGTCTATCCTTAAGCTAAGGACTTTTCTCTATAGTAGTCCTCATTTTATCACCTCAGTTGGGACCAGCAATTCAATCATTAAGTGAAGCAGTTACTAAATGAAACCATGATGATCTTCAACTTTCCCTCGATTAATAGACCTGTGAAGGTTGCAAATGCAAAGATTGCTTGCAAAGTCACTTTTTCACCCCATCAAAACTACAGCGGTCACTAAAGAAGGCAGTTACTAAACAAGGATTACCCTTATAAAAGTTCTAAAGAAACGGCAAAACCTTACAATACATTCCTTCAGTTCTTCACTCAGCAGAAAAATATACCAGCATAAATTACATTGCCTGATGGCTGGGTCCAGTTCTTGGCAGCAGGGCTGGGAAAGGGTACTGCTCTTACAATTGTAATTCAGGTCAGGTTAAGGGCCCCAAATAGTGGATTACTTTGAATATGTTTCCTTTCCGTCCCCTGTCAGCATCACTGGAATTGAGTGATTTGGGGATGGGAGAGTGGGATGGAGGATTCAGCCACCTTTCAAATTGCCCAAATATGTCCCTTTGTTTCAGTCAATGCACTCCACTAGCATGACCCTTGGATTACTTTTGGATACAGGTGTTAGTACATCAGGTTGGCCTGATCAGGAAATAAAACTTCATAAGTTCTATATACTGTGAATCCCTTGGACTGCAAGACAATCAAACCGGTCAGTTTTAGAGGAGATCAAACCTGACTGCTCTTTAGGAGGCCAGCTCCTGAAGAGAAAATTCAAATACTTTGGCNCCCTGAGTCCTTGGGAGAAGGGCGGCATATAAATCTAATAAACCTAAACCTAAATGTAGGAAATAAATAGTCCCAACCTCCTCATTCTCCCTTCTTTGCATTGCTCGTATTGCTAGATTGGCTGGGTGTTACACAATATAAAACTTTGTGGTGCAATATGCATTTATGGACTTTAAAGTCTTCCTTAATCTCCTGCTCAGTGTCAACGGCTTGTGGCTGTGTTAGAAGACGACAGATGGTATCACAAAAAGTAAACGTGCCAAAACAGTTTCTTCCTTATGAAAACATATCCTGCTCTGTGACACTGACTCAGCCTAAAAGGCCGAGAAGAATAAACATTCGCTCATACCAAAAGGGAGGGAGGGGGGAAGCATACGCAGGAGTGCTGCAATTTGGTGAATCAAAGAAAGTGTTTGATTTTTCACCTCCTTGCACCATTTAGGCCCTGAAGGTGAATGACATTTCCAAACAGACTGTTCAGTGTCAGCTCTGAAAATAGATCTGGTACATCCATGAAAGAGACTGGGCTGATCAATGTCCAAGACCAAGATGGCATTTCCAAAAGCAACATACCTTCAAGGAGCAAGTCACTTGGAAGATGAAGCAAAACACAATGTGCATGCGCATCTCCACCTAAAAAGGTCTGCGCATGCACACAACCTTAGAAAAGGGGGGGAAATTAAATTTCTTGAATTAAGATTGTTCTGCGCATGAGCAGAACCAAAAATCAAGATGGCGGCACCAGCAATGGAACCGGATTTGGGGGGGGGGGGAAGCAGGCCAAGTTACTACCTACTCGACCGAACTGGTCCAAACCAGTAAGAACCCACCTGTGCAGAAAAGGGATGGTCTAAAGTGTGGTGGGCTAGTGTAACATAGGGGTTGAAGACAGAAAGTAAAGTTGGGGAGATTTGATTTGATTTGATTTAAGTCAAGCCTCAGGCATGGAAACTTTAGTGGCTCACTTTGGATCACTCTATCACTTCCAACTCAAGTTACCCCAAAGGGTTGATTTTAAGGAGAAAAACTGAAGGAGAGAGAACTATGTGCCTTGCCTGAAGCTTCTGGGAGAAAGGCAAGGATCTTGGTTTGAAGTAATCCAATTTTTCTTTTCTTTTTTTATAGAGAACTAGCTGATTACCCAGTGTTGCCTGAGTATTTATTTATCGTAATCCTACATTAGACAGGATTTCTAATGTTGGATTTCCCCCCTTCTCAGAGGGAACCCCCTTGTGGAGTACTGTGAAGCTGTTACCATGGCAACTCTACTGCGCTGTACAGTAGAAGCCATTTTAAGGCACAACAGACTGTATCACAACAGAACACCACCACCCCCTTGAGGGATGCTAGGGGTGTCTTACCCCCATAATATTTGTTTATTTCATTTTAGGCCAAGGAGAAAAATATTTGCTGCTACCTAGGATTGAACTCTCAATCTTCTGAATAGGAACTGAGAATCTTTACCACTAAGCTATCATATCACTCATATGTATCCCAAATAATAAGGCTATTTTTAGTTTCTTGCTTCTTATATTTGGGATATTTCTCTTCCTCAATTCCCACCTCAAGTTCCTGTGTTCTAACATGTCTGGCTATAATTCCTTTACATACAAAAAGAATTATACCATGGGAAAAGCTGCAGAAAAGAGCCATTAGAGCTGAGGTGGCGCAGTGGTTAAATGCAGCACTGCAGGCTACTTCAGCTGACTGCAGTTCTGCAGTTCGGCTGTTCAAATCTCACCGGCT